GACATGACAGATAGTAATTGAGAACCACTGCATTAACTCATTTCTAACTCTGTCCATCCAGATCACGATCGATAAAAATCTCCACCTTCGCTCTGTTGCGGCATCAGTCACAGTTACTGTTCACTGACGTCACAGTAGATCAAACTTCTGTCTTCGAAACCTCTTCTTTTTGTCAAGCGTTGTCTCAGACAGCAGGGAAATAAAAGTTTGAACGTTGTCATCACTAAATTTGCTCGAGGGCAAGATTCGTACGGTCACCTGAACTAAGAGTTGTTCCCCGTGTTAATGTGATGTGAAAACTAAACTCAAGTACGTCCTGTTTCAGGCCTCTGTGGCTCTCGCCTCGTCAGGTGATGGTCGTACCAGTGGGACCCACCTGTGAAGAGTACGCTCAGAAGGTAGGCTGCGACCTCGGCCGCTTCAGTACATATTTACACACGGGACAGACGAAAACAAATGGTAGCCCGCAGCCATCGGACACTGTTTCACCTCAAAGTTGATTTAAAGGTTTTTACTTAAAGGCTGGGGAAAAAAAACATGTCCGTATTTTAACAAATATGTTAAAATAATCTGTCCTCTTAGCTGCCATACATCTTTGGTCCTCTAGGGGTAAAAAATCACACAGCCTGGTTTTATCCTTTACTTTTAAGTTAAAAAAATGTCCATGTTTTCTAATCTGAGTCCAAAACACTGCCACAAATTTTTTTTTGTAGAATTCAGGACCAGTTTGACCTTTAGGTAAATGTTGAGTAACATTTTTACACCTTCAAGTTTTAGCAATTAGCATAAAAAAGGTAATTTTTTTCATATATAGGAAAATCGATATCTCAATTAATCGTTAATAATTTTTTATTTTTTTTTATTAAATATGTCCCTAACTAATTCCCACAATTAATCAGACTTAAAAGTGATTAAATTTAATTAAGTCTGATTAATTGCGATTAATCGTTTGATAGCCTTACTGAAAAGTCCAAGTCAACACAAGGCCTGAAGTCTAAATAGACATGGGCAGTACATACCAATGATGTCCAGAGGTGGCGTACGAAGTCCTTGACGATAGGTTGACGATTAGCACCTTGTTAGCTAGCTGTATTTACTTTACTAGTGATGTACTGCTGCAGTCAGTTACATGTCTGTGCTGCGGTCTGTTGGTCAGTGTCGTTGACCTCTCTGGTTACTCACACAGGTGAAGGAAGACTTCCACAGCGGCGGCTTCATGACTGACGTGGACCTGGACCCCAGCTGCACGCTCAACAAAAAGATCAGAAACGCTCAGCTGGCGCAGTACAACTTCATCCTGGGTGAGTTGCGTCTCTCTCTCTCTGCCTCCCCCTCGCTCCTGTCTCCGTCCTCCTCCTCCTCCTCCATGTTTATCTAAACATTGATTTTTTTTTTTTTTTCATCACCTCTTTGCACGTCTGCCTCGGTGGAAAAAGTGGTGGGAGAGAAGGAGAAGACGAGCAACACCGTCAACGTGCGCACTCGGGACAACAAGGTACACGGCGAGCGGAGCGTGGAGGAATGCCTCCAGAGGCTGACGCAGCTGAAGGACACCAGGAGTCGCAACGCGGAGGAGGAGTTCTGAGTCTCACCCGTCTTTCCACAGGAGCGTCAGTTCTAAAAGAGCCGTAAAACATCAGATCACTGTCCCTGAAATAGTTTTCTTTACTTTTATAACCACGTCACCTGTCGGTTGTCAATTCATCATTACGTCATTAAGTCTTTTGGTTACTGCTCTCTTTACAGTCGTATCATTGTCAATGTCCAAAAAACAGATACTGTTTCACACTGATGGGGCTGATGGGAAACCACTGTCTTATCGCTCTTGTTTCACTCGTTTTTTTCTGGGAGTTTTACCTGGGATTTAATAAATAAAATAAATTAAAAAATTCCATGATTTATTATTTTCTTTTTGGCACCACATTCAAATTTCAACTGTGTTATTTATTATTGCTAATTACTATACGTAATATAGCATTATTGCTAATTACTATACGTAATAGATACTAACAAATACATTACTGTACATCAGTGTTTCTCAACCTTTTTTAAACCACAGTACAATAGCTATCATTAAAAAATTCCAACAATACACCAAACAAAAATACTCCCAAAACTATATGTAATGAAATAGAATTTAATTTTAATTTACTCTGATCCTGTTTAGGTGAAAACAATACAGGAATTGGAGACATGCACAGCCAACTGTTTCTCTGTTTTTCTCTCTTTATTTGTTTTATGAAAATACTCTTAATTTTAATGATACATTTCCAAAGTATTCAAACGTTTGTGAAGACAAATGTTCGGTCTATAAAAATGTAGGTCATTTTTTATGTATCTAAATGCTCAGCTATATGTGCGCAGACAAAATGAAACGTGGGAGAAATCAAACAAACTCTGCACCAATAAGTGGCTCTATTCATTTTACTTCTCTCAACCTCTACTCTCAATACTTACTTAGACCACAAGAGGGTGCTGTAAACGCATTCTCCACAACAGCTGGATTTACTGTAAATGCTAAAACCACTGGAACCACAGAAGTGCTCTGCACACATTAAACCAATGAGGTTTTTCTACAGGCTGAAATAAAATCAGTAAAAGAAAACGAAATTATTGTTGTGGCCTTAAACGTTTGCGTACATTTTTATAACTTTTCAGATTATAAAAATTCCACATCACAGCAACTTAAACCTTTTTAAAAGAAATGCATCTGTTTGAAGGACAGCTTAGCAATTCCGGTGTAGAAATGTGTCTCTTTTTAGAGTAGAACTATTCTGTTACGCTCTTTAAGGTTAGTGCTGGAGCAACAGACGTTCTAGCAGCTGCAGAAGGGGCCGTGAGCAGCCAACTCTGAACACGGGCCAATGAAAACATTGATTCTGGCTGCTCTACCACTGGCAGGTAATTAAAACGAATGAGAAGCCCTTGGTGTTTTTGGCCAATTTGAACATTTCGGCACCAAATAAAATATGTTTGCAGGTTTGGTTTCTTGCGTGGCTCTATGTTTTATGTCGATTGAGACAAGGTTGTGATTTAGAAAAAACTGTCACTGTAATAATACTTTCTAGAAAAATCCCCAAAAATGAATAGAGATGCACCAATTTGCCTACACATATGTAGCAACGTGCATGTGATGTTGCGTGATTGTTATGTTGTGCTTAGAATTTAGAAGAAATTGTTGTTTTCTGGTTAATCAACAATTGATTTAAAGCAAAATACTGAACTGAATGATACCAATACTAATACTTACTGAAATGTTAATTAAAATAATTTTATATTTTTCTTAAATTTAGGCATGAAATAGTGGATAGCTACACATTGTTTGGCAAATAAGTGGGAAATCTTTTTTTCGAATGACTTTTTAGAATATTTTCAGTATAGTGTTTTGTGTTCTGAAAATCAGTAGACATTCTAAAAAAATTTTTTCAAAAGTACAAACCCATTTATTATCAAATTAGTGCATTACTATATTATATTATTATTATGTATTGTATTTATTTAATTAAAATATTATTAAGAAAACCTTTAATTAAAAGCAAAATACTACACTGATAATTTTCTTGTCAAAAATTGACAATTTTTATAATTTAATTTTTTTAAATTATTATTCATTTATTTTTTGCTGCATGTTTCCCATTAAGTCAGCGCATTTAAAGAACATTTTTTGAATTTTTTGGATATAATTTTCTGTAAACATGTAAATATTTCTGGTCAGTTTTGGTCTGATTCTAATAAACTTTGACAAAAAATTTGTAAAATATATATTTTTGAGAATTTTATCTTTTGCTGCATGTTTCCCATCAAATTAGGGCATTTAGAGAACAATTTTCCAAATTTTTTTAAATAAAGTTTTCTGTCAAAATGTAAACTTTTCGTGTAATTTTTGGTCAAATTCTAATAAATTTTGATGAGATTTTTTGTTAATTTTACAAAAAGTTTTGTCAACATTTTTTCAGAATTTTATCTTTTACTGCATGTTTCTCATTAAATTAGAGCATTTAGAGAACATTTTTTGAAATTTTTTTGTATAAAATTTTCTGTAGAAATGTGAATTTTACGTGTCATTTTTGGTCAAATTCTAATAAAATTTGACAAAAATATTTGTAAAATATATATTTTTAATTGTATATTTTCCTACATGTTTCTCATCAAATTAGGGCATTTAGAGAATTTTTTTTTCAAAATTTTTTTTTTAGATAAAATTTTTCTGTCAAAATGTAAACTCTTCGTGTCATTTTGGGTCAAAGTGGTTTGTAAGTAGTTTCGGATGTTTTTCTGCTTTTTGTGCTGTTATAGATGCAGTGACAAAGGTGAAGTAAAAACATTTTGACTGCAAGATGGAACAGCTCAGACAGGAAGGAAGTGAGGGCACGAGGACTGACGCTCACAAAGTGTGGGAGAGAAAAACTATGATAAGGGGTTAATGAAAAAGTCAGTGGAGTCTAAGAGTGACAACAGACAGAGTGAGACAGCCAAGCATCTCTGGAGAATTCAGCTCTGGCTGTTGGCTGCAGCCTCTCTGCAAATTCTCACTCTCTCACTTCCACACTGCATCCCCACTGAACGCTTCACTGGCAAACCTGGCTGTGAAGGGTCACAACACTCGGCTGAACTCCACAAACTCCTCTTTCTCTGTTAGCAGTCATGCGGTCAGTGCTATCGATTCACACGTTTAAAGGTCACAGTGTAGCAGCTCTTAGATAATACTGAGATTAGACGATCAGTTGTGTCATGGAAAAAAGCTAAATCCACACTTTTTTTTTTGTCTGGAACGTGACTTCAGTTTACACCTAACATCAGCTAATGATCCAAGGCATAACCTTAAAAGTACATTTACCACAGCTGTGGAACACAGTGTTGTTATCTCTCTGAACTAACTAGAAAAAAAGAAAGTGAGGAGTTAGTAAGAATAACAGCTTTGTTTGAATCACTGTTTTTAAATAAAGTTCTTTGGAATTTTCAAAGCACTAAGCACTGAGAATATGAAGTACACTGATTTTTGTATTTTTTGTAAAGTCTTCCTCTGCCAGGTGCAGTTCTAACTCCTCCTAGACCAGATTGTCTTCTTTGGAGAAGGTTCCAGGGTCTATAACCCCTTAAAGGTTGTAGGATCCCAGTCTCCCGGCGAGATTTCAGTCTTTTATAAAGCATATCACGCTAGCCGTTAAAAACCATGACGCCAGTGCGCGTTCTTTCTCAACAGGAACACATTTGTCATTGTTTTTGTGTTTGTTTTGTCTTTGTCACTATGAAAACTGAAGCGATCACTGATGTCTTGCGTCTCAGCCTGTGCGTTGACTTTAAATGATTTCTCCTTACATCTTTTTTTTTTCTAACTAACAGTGACAGCCAAAAAGCCTCCCCTGTGACAAACTTGTGTTCTCATCTCTTCCCTCTTTCATCCTTGAGTCATGTTGCCTCTGGACCAAAGAAATGCATATTTGAATCCTTACCAGCTGTTTTTTTTTCCAGAAACGATTCCTCATCTCTGAAGCAACTGCTACCACCCCTCACACGTAGACATGCCTTCGGCCTCCCGCTGTATCGTCGTCACCCGTGTGCAGAACTGCAAACAGAACCCCAAATTATGGTCAGCCACTCGTGAAGTAAGTTTTGCTTGAGAAACCCAAGCTGCCATCTTTAATATCATAATGTTGCCAAATTATACGGTTCTAATTAGGAACTGTTTGATCACACATTTGTCATCTGGAACGTTGCACTGTGTGACCTTAGGGGGGAGTGTTTTTCCCCGTCTGAGAGCGTGACCTCCGCCTGTGACCCGGCATATATTAAGTAAACCACTTTACACCCAAGAGGGGACTGTGCCACCAGTCACACCCTGTTATGCAGACAGCATCAGCGGTTCTCTGTGACTCTCTCCATGATGGAGGTCTGGAGCATCATCTGCAAACAGCAGACAGCTGCATGTGGAGTGGAACAGAGCAGATGTGGAAGTTTGTGATCAGATGAAAAACAAAATACAGAAGAGACGCAGAGGAGTTCACATCTGTCTGCTGCGAGAGAAATTGTCTTTCTTTTAAAGTCAAATCTGGTTTTTTTAATAGTTTTATTTTATTATTATTTGTAACAAAACACAAATAATTTACACATTTGAATTATTTTGAAAGTGAGTAGTTTAATGAAGACCATGGGAATTTAAACCTAAATTATTTCACGAATATTTTTCGAATATAGTAAATTTGTATTGGTATCGATAAGCACTTTTATATTATTTTTGTTAAAACTCAGAATGCATTTAGGGTGAATATTAAACACACATACATACATATAGATGTGTGTATGTGAATATATACACAGACACACATACATTACATACAGTGGGGGAAATAAGTATTTGACCCCTTGTTGATTTTGCAGGTTTGCCCACTTACAAAGAATGCAACTATCTATAATTTTAGTCATATGTATATCATATGAATTTATAAAAATTGATAACCATCTGATGAGGAAAAACAAGTATTTGACTCCCTGGACAACCAGCAAGTATTCTGGCCCCTACAAGCCAGTTTTTTTCTTTCTTTAAGACACATCTCCAATCCCAACTAATTATCTACATCACCTGTATAAAAGACACCTGTCCCCACCCAAACAACCAGCATCTGCACCATGGGCAAGAGCAAAGAGCTTTCTACAGACATCAGGGACATGATTGTTGACCTACACAAGCCTGGGATGGGCTACAAAAGAATCAGAAAGCAACATGGAGAGAAAAGATCAACTTTCCGTGCAGTAATCAGGAAATGGAAGAAGCACCACACCACCGCCAACCTCCCTCGAACTGGGCCTCCACACAAGATCTCACCTCGTGGGGTGTCCCTGATCATGCGAACGGTCAGGAATCATCCCAAAACCACAAGGGGGAACTAAAGGC